GACCAGCTGTCGATTGGCTTTACTGGAAGATTCATGCTGACGCTGTTTCCGAGGCAATCTCCTTTGATTACGGTGAACACGTGCTGAGTTTTCGTCCGTCATATGACGGACATCATCATCGTCACAACAAAATTCCAGCTTACGAGTCAAGTCTTGACTCGGAATCGAAGGAGATTGCCTCGGAAACAGCGTCTTCTGGTGGAACCGACCTTCGAATCTCTTCGAAATGCAAGTAATCCCAACAATCGTCATCTCAACAGACATGGTCTCATTTTCCATGATTTTCAAGTTTGCCGATATATCCCTTTCCTGCCGAAGACCAACTCAACACCACGTTTCTACTTGGCCCACTTCGGCGTGTACTGTGTTGGAAGATCCCACGGTCGGCCAGTGGACTTCACGAACCGCATCCGCGACTCAACCCGCATACTATGGGCCAACTGAGGGCTTGTATTCGGGCTCCGCTGCATCTCTTGAATAGCTCCAACTGGCTTTGTCAGTTTATGTTTGAGCTTACTTCCATTTTGAGTGAAAGTGTTTGGTGAAGAGATTGAAACTAGTCTTTTCTGTTATTGTCTGTACTTATTAACCCACTCTTTCTCTCTCTCACGTGAAGACACAAAGCTCTTCAACGTAACTATGAGCAATCGGATGCTTAAAATATGTATAGGGAGTGGTCAGCAATCCTTGACGGCCAAAGGACAGAGGCTATTTTTCTGTTATAAGTACTTTGCGCCGTCACTGCTAGTTTCGTACATATGAAAACACATGCTGGCATACACACACACACACTCAAGTGCTTAGAGGTTGACATTGACTTGAACTAACCAGACCAATTTGAGCCTCATCAAAGAGCTTAGATTTAGGCTACATATACAGCATTTATGGATGAGCCGATGAGTTTTATCGACTCGACAGCTTGAATATGGATGTAAGGATGATACCCTGCTTTGAGTATTTCCGTCATAGGACGGACGAAAGCTTAACACGTTTACACCGGAGTCGAAGGAGATTCCAGCAAAGCCAACCGACAGGTTGCCAAGGCGAATGCGCCGTCGTCTTCTGATGAGGTTGACTTTTGAATATGTTCACCAAGCATTTTCACTCGAGATGGAGGTAAGCTCAGCAAGTATGAAACGAGAGATTCCTCGAAACCCAGCTTTTCTTCGCATAGACTCGTTAGTTTGTCCAAATGACAATCCTATTCTTGAGCTACTTGTGCGCCAAAACCGAAAATAGTGTAATTTCTTCTGTGGTCTCGTCTTCATTGTTCATTGTTTCTCGACTGCCTCTTCATTGAGATCTCTTTGTCTCTTATCCGAGGTGGATCTGTAATCCATGCGTTTTCTCTTTGAGGATTTTGCTGATTGGTGGTTTTCTCCAAACTTCTTCAAACAATAAGCAATCGCTTCGATACGAATAACTTACTTTAATCTCCTCTTCGTTAGATTGCTCTTAGTAAAGATGTCAACGGCTCTACTAGTCTTTGACTTGGTTCTATCTTCACCTCATACATACATACAAACATGCATTTTGTATTTTGCCCGCGTAATCTGCCCCACTACCTTATCCATACTCATGGAGAGTATTTGATGCTCTGTGTTGGTGGCTCAAGTGGACCCCTTGGGCGTCTTTCGAAGACGATGCATAAAAGTAACAGGATCGCCGATTCCGGATTCTTTTGGGTGAGCAAAGAAAGCGACTTTTCATGTGAGGGACCTCGTTTTGTGTGGTTGGTACGAACTCTGCATAGCAGAGCATTATGGCAGAATAGGCGGGCCGCAGCAAATGAAGCCATTAGCAAATCTAGATTCAAGTTGCTGCTGTTCCGAAGTCACGTGGCTTCAAAAACTCCTCATTCCTTCAGCTCGACAGTGCCTGTACATCACCAGTGAAAAGTTAGATTGCGTCATACTGCTCCGGCAATTAGCACAGCGTTTAGAGGACATTGGGAAAGGAGCATCATGCATTGAAAATCGCATCAGAGTCTTTGTCGAATGACTACAGAGTCATTGCAAAATGCGCCAAACTCATCTTTCAAGGAAGAGCCTCATTTCAAGGCCAAGTTGGCTGTTGGCAATGCGGACATATGCTGCCGGCAGATGAACCAGCTGATAGTGCTGCTCTTCGCCGTGACCTCAGGCGAAAGGTTGACTGCCGCATTTGATCCAACCGAGCCATGCTTCGCGAGAATAGCTTCATATGCTGGAACGACTGTAGCTTCCACCTCGTCCAGGACCCATAACCCCTCTCGCGGGACTCAAGAGCCTGTAAACCTGTTTTTTTTTCTACGCGACTCTACGAAAACGCGGTCTTTAGGCAAACGGCCGGATGCTGAAACTGGACCGATGTCCATAATCGAAAGGGTACCACCGCCGGTTGCTAGTTGACGTGAGGCGAATGACTGCGCTTCAGCCTTGAGACGAAATGTCTTTGTGACACACCGTCCGACTGTTTTCACTCCAACAACATCCGTGGCGAATGCGGAACAGATGCAGATGATTGTGTTTTTTTTGCAACAAACCCAAGCGAAGCATATAAAGACCAAGATGGTGTGGCCTTTTGTGC